ATGTGGTGGTCGGTGAGGCCGGTGATGGGCAGCGAGCCGTTGAACTCGCATTCGAACAGCGACCGGACTTAGTGGTCATGGACATCGCGATGCCGACCGTCGATGGCATTGAGGCCGCTTCGCAAATCACAGCAGCCCACGTTGCACCCGTGGTGATGCTGACTGCGTTCTCACAACGTGCGCTCATCGAGCGTGCCAGCGCCGCCGGTGCGATGGCATACCTGGTCAAGCCGTTCGTACTCGCCGACCTGATCCCCGCGATCGAGCTAGCTCGCAGTCGGTTCGCCGAATTGACCGACCTTCATTCTCAAGTCGACGAGCTTTCAGAGCAATTGGCCACGCGCAAACTGGTGGAGCGCGCGAAATCGATTCTTCAGCAGGCGCACGGGTTGAGCGAACCGGATGCTTTTAGCTGGATTCAGCGTGCCGCAATGGACAAAAGAATGAGTATGAAGGCTGTCGCAGGAATTGTGATCGCTGAAGCCGACCGGGCCGATGGGTAGCCCGTTGTTGGACTGTCCCTGGATGCGCGTACGCTGACGCTGCGATGCACCTCACAGCAGCTGGCTGCAGTTTGAAACGGATGGAATTCGTCGATGGACGTCACCGAGAACTCAACGTCAGATGTTGTTCGGGGACGTTCGCAGCCGTCGGTTCGCTGCGCCACCGCAGTTGACGCTGAATCTCTGGTCAGATTGTGGAGCGCCTGTGCTGCTGCTGCGGCCGACGAAGGTTTCGAGGCCTTCACCCAGCAGGCGTTATGGCGCGAACCCGACCTCGGCGAAGCTATCGAGGCTATTGAGTTCAACCTGATGTCGCCTCGTCGTCGGATCCTCGTGGCCGAAGTTGGCGGAGTGATCGTCGGCGCGAGCGTCTGCGACATCCGCACGTTGACGCCGATCAACGTGACCCAGCTGTTGGCGGTCACTGACATTCAGGTTTCTCCTGAGCAGCGTCGTCGTTCCATCGTTGCCTCGTTGTTGACGGCAGTCGCCGACTACGGCGAGGCCAACGGTTACGAAATGGTGGTGTCCGTCATCCCCGCTCATGCCCGCGAACCGCACCGATATCTGACAAAACTGGGCTTCCATCAAGTCGCCGTTGTGCGGGCGATCACCGCATCTAAGCTGCGCTCGCGGCTCTCAACTAAAGCGACCAGCTCTTCGAACACCAGCAAAATGATTGCGGTTCGCCGAACCCTGCGCCGCCGCCAGCGCTCCGACTAACCCGTTGCCCGGGCTCAGGTTTCCACCGGGACGGTGACTTAGTCGGGTAACGATGAATCTGGCGGTGATGTAGTCGGCTGTCATGGGTACGGAAGGCCGATTAAGTCACCGCTCCT